TGTCCAACCTTCCTTCCGAGGAGTGGCTGGGGGGTTTGAACCGCCAGCCTTCTGGTTAGCAGTCAGGTGCCTTAGGCACTATGCTACCTCAGTGCCCTGGCTCCACCTCATCGCAATTAAATCAGAATGTCTAGAGGTAGGACCCAGGCATTGGTATTTTTTTTAAAACTGCCCAGGGGATCCCCAAGCACAGCCAAAGAAGTACTGGTCCAGCTCCTGGTGTTATTGGGAGGATTAAGAAAGAAAATATATTTGAAATTTGTAGCACAGTGTCTGACACAGACTAGGATTTGGATAAATATGAGTGTTTCCCATCAACCACAGGACAACCATGCTCTCCTTTCTCAGGTTGGCAGATCCAGTGTATTAGCCTAGAAATGGTCCAGGTTAGGGAAAACCTAACTGGGAGAGCCTCAGAACTTGGTACTTTGCTATGTGCCCTTTCACAGTTTTCTTAGCCTCTCTGTGCTTAGAGCATCCCTTAGGCAGAGAGCAAAGTCCAGAGCCAGCCTCCTCAGTTCCAATCCCAGTTCTACCACTTAGTAAATATGTGGCTAGCACCTTTCTTAACCTTCCAGTCCCTCAGTTTTCTTATGTTTAAAATGGGATCATCAATAGTGCCTACTTCAGAGGGTTGCAGAGAGCATAATGTGAATTGCTGTATGAGGAGCACTTAGTAAGCATCGTGTGGTTTTGTTGTTCTTGTTCACAGAGGCAGCGAGTCCCCTTGTTTTCTGCAGGGGTGTGTGATGGATGCTGAATGGAGGCAGAACTGATGACAACACTGTGGGCAGTGACTAGGGGAAGAGGTTCCCAGGAACGAGGAGTTACCTGCTCTCACAGCTCGAGGACCGCGACGCTGAGCTCTGGGACCGTGAGTGACAGCGGTGATGGCGGTGGCGGTGGGACTTTCGGGGCCGGCTTCGAGATCTTGGTTGGAAGGAGTGGGAGGTTGGAAGGAACAAGTCAGGAGAAGAGAGAGAAATTTTGATCTGTGACACACAGTTTCCTCTTGTACCCAAGTCACCATCCCCTCAAAGTTATGTTATTCCCCCCAGATTCCTGCCTGAGTATCTGGTGGGGGGGGGGTCTCTAAGCAGGCATATTGAACACAGGTGAGAGGGTAAGGTCCCTCTGGGGGTGTATAGGAAACTCTGGGTTTGTCCTGCAGGAAGTGGGCCAGTGCACACCACACCCTGGGCAGGAACGCCACCTCCACATGTCACTTCCCCTCACTAAGGCATGAGTGTAAATTTCAGACAGCTTCAGGGCCAGTCATACCATGAAGGTGTGAATCAGCCAGGTGCTGACATTTCCACTGCAGGGCGCAAGCTAAGGGAAGGGGCTGCTTTGCCCCCATGGCACTGGCATGCTGCTAGCTTTGTGATATTTCAAGTAAATGTGGACATACAGAGTCTTACATAAAATAGTCCTGTTTCAAATGGAAACTCATTAGGAAAAAAAAACAAAAGACACTGTTTGGGGCAAAGAAAACACATTTGCAGAGTAAATTAGGCCTTTGGGCTGTCAATTTGTAACCTCAGACCTGGAAAATGAAGTCAAGATTCTTAGCACAGCCAAAAGCTTTTCTGAGTGAGTTACAAACATCATCAACAATAAAAATGACACAGCAATTACTACCATGAACAATAATAATGGTATTACTACAGGTTACTACGGCTGCCTCTAAGTAATGATAACTCAGAAGAAGAAGTAGCAGCAGGAGGGGTGTTTAAGGAATGGTCAGTGGTTTGGCCAAGCCAGGAAGCCAGTGGGAGTTCGAGGTGACTCTAGCAGGAGATAGGCTGGTTATCCCAGTCAAGGACTCAGAGATGCTTCTAACAACCACACCATGTCCCTTACCTGCTTAAATCCTCCCCATTGCCCTTATGTCAAGTCCATACTCTGAGCATGAGTGTGACCCATAGCTCCTTTAGGCACTAGCCCTGCCCTCCAACCTCACTGCTTGACAGTTCCTGCCCTGAGCTGGTGCCAGCTCCAGCCACACCAAGCCACTTCTTTGCCGGCTCAGGATGTCCTCTGGATGATGGTGATTGTGACAAATAACCCGTTTTGAACACTGTGCCAGGTCCTGAGTTCTAAGCATTTATAAAGTGTCTTGAAAAACAGGAAAAGGAGACAAGATGGCATCCATCTAACATGCTCCCACCAATCCCTCTCCAGCAGAGACTCAGAAAAGCTGAGTGGACCAGATACAAAGAATGATCCTGGAATTCTGAGCATCAAATGAGAAGATGAAGAAGTCAGCTGAGTGTCAATTGGAAAGGGAGATGGAGTGACGTCAGTGAGTGGGGAGAGGAAGGGAGGCAGACCCAGCTAGGGCACAGCCATTTTATTCACAGAGGTGTCAGACACAGGTGAGGAACAACAAAGCTTCACAGAATGCACCTGGTGATAAAGACACAGTGTCCGTAGATCGGGGGGAATTCAAGGTGAGTGAAGTCCTGTGTGAGTTAGGAGAGGAGCATGCAGGGAAGTGGGTCAGACTGCCAGCAGCACAGGTGCCCACAGAGCAAGGAGGGAGCCAGAGAAAGAAATGAAGTATAGTTTACCACTAGAAAACCAAAGCAGACCCACTGCTCTTAAGTCGATTCTGACTCATAGTGCCCTTTTGGGTCAGGGTGGAACTGCCTCGTGGGGTTTCTGGGGTTGCGGATCTTTGTGGAGGTAGACTGCCTTGTCTTTCTTCCTTGGAGCAGCTGGTGGGTTCAAGCTGCCAGGCTTTTGGTTCATGGCTGAATACTTTACCATGATGCCACAGTCTTTTGGGCTGAAGACCTAGGTGACTGGTTGAGTGTCCTCCAAGGGCACCAGACCCACACCAGTGAATTCAAGTTAGAGAAATACGCTCCCCAACCTAATGGTCAGAGGCTAAAACTCGCCCACCTAGGGCCTAAGGCCCTGACAGATCTTTTTCACACTGCATCCAAGAGGCACCCCTCTGCAGCTTCCTCTCTCAGAGAAGCACACTTGTACAGGGCATCTCCCACCACTGCAAAGGGAAAGGCCTATGTTGGGACAATTAGACAAGATAGTCTCAAGGTGGCCTTTCACTAGATTCTGGGCAGAAACAAGATAAACAGATGCATGTGCCCAGAATGGTGCCAGACCCATGCCAGTGAATTGCAACTGATGAGCCACACTCTTCACTCCAACAAGTACAGCTTCCTTGCAAACAGGGACAAAACCTCTCTCCATCACCACCAAGCTGGTGCCAGGGAAGTCCTACCAGGATACCCTGACCACCTCCTCTATAGCCTAGCAATCCTCAGCAACCCACTCCAGACAGACCCAGAGGCTGCAGGTCTCCATGCCTGTGCTCTTATCACTGGCTGATCTTTCTCACACTGAGCACAAGACCTACACCCTTGCAGCATTCTCTCTTCTAGGTGCCTACTCCCTTCCCGGTAGATCAGCAGTTTCCACTATAGTTGCCGCTCCCAGGGCTGCTGGCTGATTGTAACTGCAAAAATCCCTCTTCCTAAGTTTCCTTATCTTCCCCATATTTTCCTTGTGTCCTTTTTCTCAATTTTTCTGCTTTTTTTAATCTGTTCATCTCTCCTTCTTCCTCTTCTTCATCATTTATACCAATCTTCCATCTTCTCTACCCCACTTTTCTTCTTTTTCTTGTTCCATCCCATGGGAGAAGGATATTAACTCTTCACTACGTAGCCATTTCTACTGCACCAACCACATCACCCAGTGGACAAACACTACTGGATCAATGACAGACAGTGCACACCACCTACAGCTCCTTTTCACTACAGAGACCTGTACCCACACTCCCACCAGTTATTTCACCAACCTGGAGACATCTGGGGAGTGCACCAATCTAAGAACCAAAGAAGCATTCCTGCCCCACACATCTTGGTATACTGAAACAGAGCAAAACAAAAAAACAGAGTGAAACAAGCAAACACTTAACCAACAACCAACAAATAAAGACAACAACTTCAGAATATCTTGGAGACAATAGACACCTTCAGTTCAAACAAAGAAATACAACAAGATAGCAGAAGCAAGTGACCAAACTAAAGAACTGGGACATGTTCCCATGGAAGAACAGGTAATTGAACTGCCTGATAAGGAACTTAAAAGACTATATATATATAAAATCTTCCAAGAGTTCAAGCAAACCATAAACAGAAACCAGGAAAAAACAGGCAATACCCTTGAAGAAGCAAGAAAATCATATAAGAGCAAAATGGCAAAACAAATGGAAATCATACAAAAATAGCAGTTAGAAATCCAGAAGATAATACGTTGGGAGGACAAAAGAGTAGAAATGAACGGGCTGAAGAACGCATTTCTTTCTTAGAGGTTAAATCTCTTGACACCAGCTTGTATGAGAAAATAATCAGAAATGAGCAATGAAGGAAACCTGAGTTACATGGGATGATATCAAAAGAAATAACATACACTTGATTGGGAATTCCAGGACAAGAGAAGGAAAATAGAGAAAATTGTTGAAGACTTGCTACAGAAAACTTCCCCAATATCATGGAAGACAAAAAGATACCCACCCAAGAACTCAATGAATATAGGATAGACCCCTAGAAAGGCACCAAGATACATCATAATCAAACTTTCCAAAGGCACAGAAAGAATCTTGAGAGCAGCTCAGGAAAAACAAAAAGTTACCTACAAAGGGCAACCAATAAGACTAAGTTCTAATTTCTCAGCAGAAACTATGCAGGCAAGAAGGCAATGGGGTGATATGTACAAAGCCTTGAAGAAAAATAATCACCAACCAAGAATTATATAGCCAGCCCAGCTGTCCCTCAAATATGATGGTGAAATTAGGACATTTTTAGACAAACAGAAATTAAGGGAATTTGTAAGAACCAGACCACCCTACAAGAAATGCTACAGGGAGTACTTCCAACAGAAGACAACAACTTAAGATTAAGACATGTGACAACACCACCCAGAAACCAAACCCAGAAAAAAGAATTCTCAAATCTAAAATAAGCTTAAAAAATGGAAAATAGAGAACCTGAGGACTCTATTTGTAAATGACACTAACTACAGAGTAACTACCAAGCAAATAGAAGGAATAAATTGTATAATTTCAAAACTTCCAAATGGAGAGGAAATCAGGATGATACCAATATAGAACAGAATATTCCAAACTCAGGGAGATAAGAATCTGCTACAGGTACTACAGGGTAACCACAAAGAAAATTAATAAAGCTTTCTATCCAAAAGAAGGGAGCTCTGGTAGCATAGTGGCTAAGGCACTTGACTGCTAACCAGAAGGCTGGCAGTTCAAACCTACCAGCCACTCCTCGGAAGAAAGGTTGGGCAATCCTACTTCTGTAGTGATACTGCCTTGGAAACCCAAGGAG